AAAATTTATACCTTTGAGCTATGGTGTTGGAGGAGAACATTAAAAGTACCCGGACTGCCAGAAGAACAAACAAATCTGTGTTAGAAGTACATCCAGAATATTCCTTAGATACCAGGATGGCCAGACTTCGTTTCTCAAATATTGGACATGTTGTCAGTAGGGACTAGACCCTGGAGAAGGGTATCATGTTTGGTAAGGTGGAGGGTCAGCGAAATAAGGAAGATCCCCAACAAGATGGACTGGCACAGTGCAGCAGCAACGGGCTCAAGCTTAACAAAGACTGTGAGATGGTACAGTACTAGGCAGTGTTTCCCTCTGTTGTGTATAAGGCGTCTGTGAGTCAGAACCGACTTTTGGCACCTAACAACAACCTATTAGATGTCAACCTCCCCAAGCTGTGAAAACCAAAGTACTTAAAGGCATTGTTAGATGGCCCCTAGGGAATAAAACACCTGCAGTTGAGGTCCAATTAACCCAAGGAATCAGGACTACATAAATCTTGCTCTTCCTTGAAGCAGTCAACTTCTGTTAAAAGAAGATGGCTTAAACCATAGTGCTTACCTTCTTTAGATTCTTACAATATTCTATAGCAGCAGGTTAGCACAAGGGTGATGAATTGCTTCATCACTGCTGTATGTGTTCTTTCATACTAGCTGCACCATTACTGCCTTTAACTCAACCAGTTCAGATGACCAACTTACACGTTTCTGACAGTCTGTTGCTGGCCACCTCTGAGTGCCTGTCTCAGAGTTCTAGCTGGTTTCTTCTCTGGAGACACTGGATTCACAAGGAAGGGGGAGGCCATTCAAATACCACTAAAGCGGCAAAAAAACCTGAGTCACTCTATCAGGCTATTGAAAAAGTAATTAAATTTGAACATTTCATCAATTACCTGTTTCTTCCCAAGTAGTAAACATGACTTTAATTCCTGTTAAGAGTAAGATGATGATTTATGAATGCTATTAAAAAAAAAGGAAACTGTATTTTCCATCATGTTGAAGGATATTTATTGGCTTTAATTCCTGTTGCTCTTATTCCTACTGATGTTGTATGTACATGGGACACAAAAAATGTACTGCAATTAAATTATTTTCATTCCAATGGAGAAAAACATCTCTGGTTTAAAAACCTAGTTTAATATAGAAAGCATTACTACACAAAGGCTCCACATTTGTAACAATTTGGTAGTTGCAATTCTAACTGCCCTTGTGTTGATGTAACATTTTATCTAAACTCAAGAAAACTTTTGAAGTTTCTGCTTAGAAACAATTCATGGCCCAGCGGCTCCTTTCACATTCTGATAAAAGCTGCAGTCCTTGTGCTTAAATAGTCATTAACTACTCTTTGTCAGAAATAACAATCCCTTTAGATTGGAAAGGAGAAACTCTTACTAAGAACCTCCAGCAGCCACACCTGCCTTCATGGGAATTTATTTACTTGTGGTGTTGGAGGAGAATATTGTTAAGTGCCATGGGCTGCCAACAGATCCAATAGATCTGTTTTGGAAGAAGTGCAGCCAGAGTGCTCTTTGGAGGCCAAGATGGCCAAACTTCGTCTCTCATAGTTTGGACATGTTGTCAGGAGAGACCAGTCACTAGAGAAGGATATCATGTTTGGTAAGGTGGAGGGTCAGCGAAAAAGACAAAGACCCCCAGTGAGATGGATTGGCCTAGTGGCAGGATCGATGGACTCAAGCGTGGCAAAGCAGTGAGGTTGGCCCAGGATTGGGCAGTGTTTTGTTCTGCTGTGCCTAAGGTCACTATGAGTTGTTACTGACTCGATGGCACCTAACAACAACAACAACTAACTGTTTGGCAGGAGTCCTGGTGTGGTGCTGCAGGATAAGCACTGGATTACAAGATCATTTGAACCACAAGGTTGGCAGTTCAAACTCACTAGCTGATCTTCAGAAACTCTATTCAGGGTTGCTGTAAGTCAGAACCAACTGGACAGCACCTAACAACAATAATAACACTTTGGAAAGACAGAGAATTCTAGAGACAACAATCTTCTACTAAGGTACAACTAAGATACATGGATTTGAACTTGGGCTACAGAAATGAGCCTGCTAATGTCCAGAAGAGACTGACTTCCTATATTTAGATATAAATGCATCTGTTTTTCCAAGGCTAACTTTGTAGCATTCCAATGGCACCAAAGAGCCAAATGGCGACATTTTGTCTATGCCCTTACAGGTACTGGCTTGAAATGAACAAGCCACTGCCTCTGACACACCATTCTCCCCCTCAGGAGTCAAGCACTTTTTAATTCCAGGTTCATCTGTGTGGCTGCTATTGGAGTTCAAAGGGATGCTGCTCATTGCACAGTCAGAAAGGCGCTTGTGGTGGTCTTCACTTAGTAACAGTACAATGGTTCCGCCAACCCGAAGCACTCTGTGATTTAAAAAAAAAAAGTAATTAATATTCCTTTCTTTTTAGATGAATAAAAATAACACTTTATTTAAAACATTTGATTTGCTCTTAATTTGAATTTGAATGTTATCAATTGAAATACAAGGACTCTGCAAATTAGGAAATACCTTCTGTAATGCATATTCATTATAGTAATTGTTGTTGTTGTTGTTAAGTGCCGTCGAGTCGGTTCCGACCCATAGCGACCCTGTACAGGGTTTCCAAGGGTGTAAATCCTTACAGGAGTAGAAAGCCTCATCTTTCTCCCGCGGAGCGGCTGGTAGTTTCAAACCGCTGACCTTAAGGTTCGCAGCCCGATTCGTAACCATAGTAATTACAGAATAAAAATAAAAGTCTGTTTTAATTATCTATTTTTTTACTGTATAGTACTTAAAAGACAAGCCTCAAAGTAATTTGTAGTCACATCCTACAACTGACTGTTCAGTGAAAAAGGCAAATGACAGAATTCTACAGAATCAGCATCTACTAAAGAAAGCAGGCTAATGGAGGATAAAGTTACCAGGAGAAGTCAGGACATGAACAAAGGAACGGCCAAAGGGAAGATCAAAGAAAGAAGGGAAAACCGTTTTGGGTAGCATGTTGTTGTTGTTGTTGTTAAGTGCCATCGAGTCGGTTCCGACCCATAACGACCCTGTACAGGGTTTCCGATAGTGGTTACAAATCGGGCTGCTAACCTCAAGGTCAGCAGTTTGAAACTATCAGTTGTTCCATGGGAGAAAGATGAGGCTTTTTGCTCCTGTAAAGATTTACAGCCTCGGAAACCCTGTACAGGGTTGCTATGGGTCAGAACAATAACAACAAGTTCACTCAACTATTCAACCAAAGTGTGTGTAGCACTTCTGTGGAAAAGTGGTGAATAGCAAGTAGTCCTGTGAGCTGCTAAAATATTACAGAACAGTGGGAGAGAGAGGGGCACGTAAAAAGTTAAATAATATGCTAAATGCCATTAATTGAGATAAGTCTGGGGTTCATGGGGAACCATTAGATGGATCCAAACCCAAGCACAGGGGACTGAGTACAATTTCCTGGAGGATGTGATGCCTACCATGAGTTCAAGGACAAGCAGGAGTTAGTTAACCAGGCAGAGTGAGAGTTGGGGCTGGAGCAGGCGGAGGAAGCAGCAAAGGCAGGAAGGAATGAAAAAGAGGCAGCACTCAGAGTAGCTCAGCTTTGGGGGTGAGGGTGGAGAGGTGTGAATCACAGAAGGTTTCGAGAAAGTGCAAGCACATAAAGAACAGCCTGGAGGTAAAGAGAAACCTGTGGGTTGGAGACAGATCAAGAGCTTTCAATGTGAAATGGTAGATAAAGTCATAATGAGATCATCTGCAGTGACAGGGTGAGAAGGGGAAAAGGGCCCAAAAAGCAGAAACTTATTAACATTTTAGAGGGGACAGAGGAGGAGAGGCACAACAGATCTCCTGAGAGAAAATCTGGGCAATAGTAATGTCTTCAAAGTCAAAGGAATAAAGTTTCAAGAAGGGAATGGTTTCAACAGGGTAAAATGCTAATAAGAACTAACATGTGACCACAGGATTTCATAGTAAGAAGTGAACCTGGGAGAGGAACAACTCAGAAAAGGAGGCTGAGAATGGTTACACAACTCAAAAAATGGAATCAATGTCACTGAGTTGTAAATGTAGACACTGTTAATTTGGGTTTTGTTTTGATGTGCATATTCTCAACAACAACAAAAATCAAATAAATTATTAACAAAAAGGAAAAAAGAAGTGATGAACCCAGGAAAGCAATTTCAGTTGAAAGCAGGCGTAGACTGAAAGGTGAGGAGTGTAAATGTCAAGTGTAGATTATTCTTTCAAGTACAGAGTATAGTTAAGAAAACAGGTGGAAGCTAGAGCAACAACAACAAAAAAAATAAGAAGCTTTTTCTCACTTCATCAGCAAACGGAGATAGTTCCACCTCTAAGCTACGTCACATTTTCATCTACTTATTCCCATCCTCATATTTTGCCTGGGCTAAAGCAACAATCTCTTGATAGGTCTTGTTTCCATCCCATTTTCCTCCTCAGTTTCTATAAAGAATCCAATATGTAAATCCTTGCAAACTCTTCAGTGCATTCGCTGTACTTGAAAAACATTCTTAAGTCCTCATTATGGTGTATTAGGCCTTACAGATTGAGCTGGCCCTCATCGACTCTCCCAATTTCACTGCCTCCTTGCTTCTGCTTGGTCCAAACACATGAACCTTTCTTCTGTTGCTCAAACTTACCAAGTTCTTTTTATCTTAGGACATTTGGCCTTGCTGGTCACTCTGTGCTTACCACTCGTTCCCTGAGTTTTTTCATCTTCCAGGTGTCAGAGGTCAAGTATCACTTCCTTGGAGATATCTTCCCTGACTGCTTCTTGGTCACTCTCTAGCACACTGCATGGTTTTATTTCTTTCATAGTACCAATTACAATTTGGAATTCTCCTGCTTACTGGCTTATTAATTATCTGTCTTTGCACACTGGACTGCACACCCCACATGGACAGGAAACTTGCCTGTCCTCTGCACTGCTGTATCCCCAGTGCCTCGTACAGAACAGGGATATATGCAAGGCCTCCAAAAGTATCTAAGGGATGACTAAATCTCCTACAGAGCACGGCAGACATGAAGAGCCTGAAATACACTAAGTGACAAGTAAGCACAGTGAGCTCCCTGAGGAGCTAGGAACTGGGAGGATAAGACCTGGGCTAGAAGACAGGAGCCTCTTTCTGAGAGGAGAGGGCAGGATACGGACAGATGTGGCTGTATAACAGATAACAGAAAAAAGAAAGCATACAAATGGAAAAAAATGATTAAAATAACAGATAAGGTCTATATTTTTACTTACTATATTAACTAAGATGAAAAAGAAATGCTCAGGATGGCAAGATTCTTATCAGGATGAAATAATCAATACTCTTAAACAAAGAAATTGGGTGTCATTTCTTGTTTCTTTTCTAAAAAAAAGTTTTTTTTTTCTTTGGAGGGGCAAGTGTTTGGCATTAACATATAAGAAATATAAGATGTGTATAGCTTTTGACACAGCAATAGCACACGTAGGAACTTATTCTAAGAAGATGTAACAGCAGTAGTAGAAGTAATAGAATAACAGTGGTGATACTGGTGATAACAGCCGATACTCACTCAGCACTTATTATTCGCCAGGCATGGCTTTAAATGCATTGTATTATATATATCATTTGGTCCCAGAACTATACTTTCAAGTGCAACACCCATTTTTCAGATAAAGAAACTGAGGCACTGTAGTTCTAAGTAACTTAGTCATACAGTTAAGTTTGAAAAGCTATTTGTACAAAGAATGTTATGGGCGTCTGTAATGCATATTAAATGAATTGCTTAATATAGCCCTCAAAATATGGTGGTGTTAACTTTCACAAAATGATTGGGAAGAAGTATGCAAATAAGGTCCTGGTGTGGCGCTGTGCGCTAATGCATCAGACTGCAAAGTTATTTGAACTGCAAGGTCGGTGGTTCAAGCTCATCAGCTGTTCCTTGGAAACACAGGGTCACTATGGGTCACAACAAGGAGCTCTGGTAGCGTAGTGGTTACGAATGGGGCTGTGAACCACAAGGTCAGCAGTTCGAAACTACTAGCTGTTCTGCGGGAGAAAGATGAGGCTTTCTGCTCCCATAAAGATTTACAACTTCAGAAACCCTGCACAGGGTCGCTATGAGTCAGAACCGACTCCATGGCACATAACAACAACAACAACATGGGTCACAACTGACTCCATGGCACTTAACAACAACTTGCAAATAAGGTGCATGTAGCCCTCCAAAGGTACTGGACACTATTGCTAATGGAGAGATGCATGGAACTCTTTCAGGGGTGGGACCATGCAGATAAAATGCATGGAGCCCTTGTGGGGGATTGGTCAATTTTGTTATCCTGCTATGCTTAAAGAGAGTCAATCTTAAAGGTTGGAAGAGGACCTTACTGCTATCAAGAAAAAGGACAAGGTGTGGAGCATGTCCTTTGGACCTGGGATTGCTGAACTGATAACCTTTGGACTCAAGAGACAAAACAAAGCAGAAACACTCAAGACAGCATGAGAGAGGCTAGGCTTGCAGAGACATGGAACTTGAGAGCTGAGTGCCTTCACACAAGAGGCTTCCTGGCCTCCAGACACTTACAGGCAGAGGTAAAGAGCTTTCTAACAAATGCCCAAGTAGGGCAGAGGCCAGACTGAGAGCAAAGTGGTCAAAAATGCGGGCTGAAGGCCAATAGCTGAGAGATTTCTCAGCAGGCATGGCTGAGACGAAGCTATCTTGATCCAAGACCTGTATCCTAAATTGTTCCTGAGACTTCCAAGTTGATTCTGATTTGTAACCTGTTACTTCCTTAATAAGGACTCCTGGTGTGGTGGTGCAGGCTAACCTCAAGGTTGGTGGTTCAAACCACCAGCTGCTCCTTGGAAACCCTATACAGGTCACTTTGAGTCAGAAGAGACTAGAGGGCACTTAACAATTCCCCTAATCAACCCTATAATCATGAGTATGGCCTGTGAGCTTTGTGTGGCCACTGCAAGGAATTACTGAATCTATCAGAGTGGCAAGAGCGGGATTGCTGGTATCAGAATTGGTTAAAAAAAATCAAGGTTGGAGAGAGGAGGTAAATGTGGCCTCTGCCTCACAGGAGTCAGCTTTGGACTGACAGCCTTAATTCTTCCCTGAGTGGAGTCAGTGAGTCTCCAATGCCTGGCCACTTACCAACACTGCTCTTTATTAAAATGAAGAATAGGAAATTTCCTAAATATGTAAGTGCTGGCAACATAAGGGTACATATATACATATAACACACTATGGCAAATATAGAAAATTATAATGTACATTATAACAACTGGTAAGAAAGGAGATTTATGACATTGTCAATGAAAAAAAGCAGACAACAATAATTAAACATGCTCCTGTTTATGTAAAATGAAAACCATGTATATATTTGTGTAAATGGAGTCATGGTGTGACACTGTAGGATAAGCACTCGACTGCTAACTGCAAGGTTGGTTGTTCAAACCGACTAGCTGCTCCTTGGAAACCCTATACAGGGTCGCTATGAGTTGGGAATTGACTTGACAGCACTTAACAATAGCAATAATAATTTGTCTATATAAACACAGAAATATGTCTAAGAGGACTTTCACCAATTTATTTATTGCCTTTTTTTTTTTTTTTTTTTTAGATAAAATGAGAGAAAAGAATAAAGCAGTAAAAATCACCTAAAATCCGGCTACTCAGAGATTGACATTTTTAGTAAATTCCCTGCTAGGCATCTTTTCAAATACATATACTGAATATTGCTTCCTAAGAAAGTTATTCAGAAAATACAAAGCAACATTCTTCCAATACACATGCCTGAACTCCAGTGTAGCATGGATATTATTAAATATTATTTGAAAGGAGTTCTTGGGTAGTGCAAATAGTTAACTGGTCTTTTCTACTTGTCCTTTGGAGTTCTTATCTGACTTTCCAAACAGATTGCTCACCTAACACCCCTGCCCCATTCATGAATTACAAATAGAGCTTGCTAGTTTGTATACAAATAAAAGTTTGTGGAAATTTTATTTTTTAACATTATAAGCAGGTTTAGTGACCTCTGGTATTTTTTCAATTTTACTAACATAAAATTTTCCCTCTATTCTTGTTGTTTTTAACTGCTGCGGAGTTGGTTCTGACTTAACAGCAACCTGCAGAAGCAGAAAGCCTCATCTTTCTCTCACAAAACAGTTGATGGGCTTGAACCACTGACCTTGTGGTTCACAGTACAGAGCCATTGCACTTTCATTTTCTATTTAGAACTGAAAATGTTTGATAAATCATAGGAGAAAAGTTATGAATCTTAAATATATTCACATGTATCTCCACCTAACTTCCCATAAGAATCTCAAGTGACTTACACTAAACTAGGTAAGACCTAACCATTATAGAGCTCTTTCTAGGTGTGATTGCTTTAAGAGCTGTAAATTCAGAAAATCCCATCAATGCAATGAGGTAGATATTACTTAAAGGTGAGGAAATGAGGCATAGAGTGGTAAGCAATTTGCCTGTAACTGAGAAAAATTAAGTGACAGAGCCAGGACTGGAATCCAGGTGTCTGGCTCAAAATCCTGCATAGTCAACCACTACTTTATGATACACTTCCAAATGAAACTTCAAACCTAAAGCCAAAAGTCAAAACACAAAGGTTGGGACAAGTAACAGGAAACCTTAGTCACAAAGATGGGAAAAATATCCTTCATCCAGAAACACACTTTAAACTCATTCTACTTAACTTGACTTAAAAATATATATATGGTTGTTGTGTGTTGTGTGCCACTGAGTTAGTTCAACGCACAGCACAGTGGCCCTGTACAAGGTTTCTAAATGCCTGGTAGATTGAAACTGCCGGCATTGTGGTTAGCAGCCCAGTGTTTTTTTTTTATTCTATAGTGCCACACCATTGCTCTGAACTATACTAGCTATCTTAAATATCTTCCTGACTTTCAGATGAATATTTAAATCTTCTGAGATAATGTAAGAACAATCTTATCTATTACATTACTGTCTCATTTTTCATTGTTATGTGCCATGGAGTTGGTTAGGACTCACAGACACCCTCTGTACGACAGAATGAAACAATGTGTAGTCCTGTAGCATCCTCACGCTAATGAGAGAACCCATTCTTTGTTCTTCCAACCACTGTCAATCCATCTCGTTGAAACTCTTCCTCTTCTACTTTACTAAGGATGGTATCCATCTTTACAGACTGGTCCCTCCTAATACATGTCAAAAGTATGTGAGACCAAGTCTTGCTACCCTCACACCTAAGGTGTGTTCTGGAAAGAAAGATTTGTTTTGGCAGTCCATGGTACAGTCAATATTCTTCACCAACACCGTAATTCAAAGGCACCAATTCTCTTTCAGGCTTATTCGCTGTTCAGCTTTTGCATGCATGAGAAGACTGAAAAGACTCCAGCTCCTGGATCAGGAGCATTCTAAACCTAAGTGACATCTTTGTTTTTAAAGAGGTCTCTTGTGTCAGATTTACGCAATGCAATACCTCTATTTATATCCTGACTGCTGTTTCCAAGGGTGTCGACTGTGGATCCAATATCATGATGTTATTTATTGGTCTACTTGAAAGGATTTTGTTTTATGTTGAGATATAATCCATGCTGAAGGCTGTAGTCTTTAATGTTCATCAATAAGTACTTCAAGTCCTTTATACTTTCAGCACTTTAGGTTGTTTCATTTGTATACTGCAGGTTATAATGAATCTTCCTGCAATCCCAATGCCACGTTCTTCATATAATCCAGCGTCTTGGATTTTCTGCTCAGTATACCAATAAAATTTGGATGCACACCTTTCTTTGATTTTAAGCCAGACAGTATCCCATTTGTTCTGTTCAAACAATTGCTTCTTGGTCACTGTATGGGTCCTATGATGATCACAAGTAAGTGGTCTGGAATCCCATTCTTTGCAATGTTATCTATAACTTGTTATGATCACACAGTCAACTGCCTTTGCATGGTCAATAAAATAAAGGAAAACACCTTGCTGGTGTTATCTACTTTCAGGCAAGATCCATCTGACATCAGTAATGATATCCCTTGTTCCACATCCTCTTTGGAATCTGGCTGAATGTCTGGCAGTTCCCTATCACTGTACTGCTGAAACGGTTTTTGAATTATCTTCAGCAAAATTTTATTGTGTATGATATTAATAATATTGTTAGAAAATTTCTGTATTTTATTGGATCATTTCCTTGGAATGGGAACATATGCAGATCTCTTCCAGTCAGCTGGCCAGGTAACTGTCTCTAAATTTCTTGGAATAGACAAGTGTGTGCTTTGTAGCATTCCACTGGAATTCAATTAGCAAAGAATAAAAACCAAAACCAGCCTAGAGAAAAGCAGGCTGATACAATTTTACTAGTGCTGTCTTCCACTGAGTTGTTAGGAGTCCTATTGTGATACTGTAGATAAGTTCTGGACTGGTATCTGCAAGGCTGGCAGTTCAAACCCAACAGTTGATCCTTGGAAACCCTTGTAGAGGGTTGTTATGAGTTGGATTCAACTTCACGGCACTTAATAAAAAACAGCAATTAAGTTGTTAAGTCATTATTTCTCTGGACAGTTCCAGGTTAAATGTAAATCACTACTCACACATATTAGTATCTCACCATGAGTTAGCTGGCTTTGTTAGTATAGCTGGCAAATTCCTTACTTAGGCTTGAAGACTGTGGTTACTAATTACCCTGCTGCACAACAGCATCAGTGTGGAAGTTTTTAAGAAATATGGGCATCCAATTCCTACCACAGATCAATTAAATCTGGGCAAGGGTAGGAAGAGGGAGGGCACAATGTGGTGAACAGACACCAGTATTTTTTATTTTAGTTCCTAAAATGATTTTAACATGAAGCTAGGCTCATGGGGAGACTGATGCTGGGCCAAATGGAGTATAAGGGTTCAGGAAAGGTCTGACTTCAAGGTGCTGTTTAAATAGCAAGGTCTCAGGTAATATACAAGAATTAGGCAACAGGTAACAGGGGAAGTTACTTAGAAATAAGATATCCCCAAACCCACTGTGGAATACCCTGCTCATAAAGTGGGGATGAGAAGCTCTAAGTTGAGTTTGGAATTCAAGTTTTAATTTTCCTCAGAGATTGTCCATTGACATTGCATTATCCCCACTCAAATCACATAGTTTATATTTTCAACTGGCCACGTATTGTTTATACAGCAGGTTCTTGATCACTACGTTGGTTGACTGCTTATCCATGTACATTCAATCCTGTACCGACTCAACAGCACTTAAAAACAATATCATCATCTTGTTGTTGTTGTTAGGTGCCATCGAGTTGGTACTGACTCATAGTGACACTATGCACAATAGAATGAAATACTGCCCGATCCCCGGCCAACCTCATAATTGTTGCCACGCTTGAGCCCACTGATGCTGCCACTTTGTCAATCCATCTTGCAGGGGGGTCTTCGTCTTTTTCTCTGACCCTCCACCTTACCAAACATGATATCCTTCTCCAGAATCAGAAAAGTATCCAGATCTCACTGGTTGAACCTCTCAAAGAACGACTTTTACTGAGTTTTATTCTCTTAGGTTGATAATAGAACTGTAACGTGAATACTACTTCTGCACTTTCATTTCATAACCAATAAGGAAGGTGTTACGCATTCTGCATGTTCCTTATGTAAATTTTGTTTTGCTATTTAGTAGCTGTGTGATCTTGAGAAAGTTCATCTTTCTCAGTTTCCTCATCTGTAAAATGTGGGAGATAACACATACCAGCTAGGGGTTTTGTTTGGATTAGAAGTAAATATATAAATTATGTAGTACAATGACCAAAACACAGTAGGTATTCAAATTTCAAACAAAAAAAAACCAAA